AAAACGCATACCCACACACTGTACACAGGTGGAATTTAGAATCTCAGTTCATTAAGAACCCAGTAAAATATTTCTAGCCATATATTCTCCATTTATAAATGGCTTGACAGTTTTTTGCAAATAACCAGTAAATTCTTTCATGCATACATAAAATAACTGTATCACGTCTTTGACTGGAATGCTACTGTTTCAGCCAGTAGAAAGAAAAGAAAAGAAAAATTCTCTTCTATTTGCAACAAGAACATTTACATTTACAAAATATCAAACACTTATAAAACATTTAGATCTGTATTAAATGTTGCCTTCCATTTAAGCATAGGGATATCACATTTTCAATTCTGTCATTGACACCTGAATGAGAAATAGAGTAAAATTTGTATCTGAAGCCAGTCCAAGAAAATATGAGCAGTATATTATCAGACATTTGTGAAATACCCTGTATAGTGAGAAATGGACCACAGGTCAGAAGAGAAGAGCCCTTCAAAACAATAAAAAAAACACACCCCTACAAAAGTGCACCAGTTTTATATGTTTGCTGGATGTGAATTCTTAGTAAATATATATTTACAGTGCAGCAGAGAATCTTTGATAAAGCTATGAGGAGCACATCATTTGGCTGAGAGTAAGAACACTTTTTATAGCTTTGAACAGTAATTCCACTCAACTGCAACTTTAAACCATCCATATTTTTTTGGAAAATTAAATTGCTTTTTCTCCAAATGCTGTAAAATGTGTGTCAAGCACTGTAATGATATTCATTATAAATTTAAAAGACACACAATATATAATTCATGAAATCTTCATTATTTATGTCTTCCTTAAAAGTTACTTTGATCAATTTGATCACAAAGAACATTTGATCAAATGGAGAGTAAACAATCTAACATTTAGTATAATGAATCTACAGTATGAACTAAATAGAAGATTCCCTTAACTACACTGAATAATCTATTTCATACTAATATATATTCATGAAGCACTGGCTTCTTCTGCGTTGATTTCATGACAAATCAAAGAAGCTCCTCAGTCAAGACTACTATAATCTTAAAAAAACAGCATTTTCAGGGGAACAGGTACCTTCCTTACATCGCATGTCAGATACAATAAAATCTTGAACAGCAAACCAATAGAGTTGCCAGATTGAATTGTTGAAGCTGTACAATGTCCATAGTCACGTCAGTGAATACATGGATATCTCTTGGGTTGAATAGAGCATACTGTAATCTTTTTCATGTTTTCTTATTCTACCCATGGAATATGTTATAAAGGTCAAAAAGTGAAAGACTTACATTGGTCATTGGACATGAGCTTAAGTTCTACAATCATTACATACTTTTATTTATAGCTGCCAATAACAAGGACTTGAAAATTTTATGTGAGAACTTTCCTAATTCTACTGGTATTTAGCTGACATATAACGTAGAATCTGATGCATAATCAGTTATGTCAGGTGTTTGGAATCTGCATTATAAAACCCATATACTTACTTTGAACATGGGAAAAACTACACCATATTCAAGTACCTAACTAAAATTTGTTAAACAAAATGCAAAGGTCTATTAGACCATTTCCATTAACCAATTTTGACTAAACAAAGAATACTTTCACTTACATCAGGAATTCATCCTTTCTTCTTATGACCATATCATAAGAATAAATTTGATTTTTGTAACAGGATGGAAGTATAAGCTGCTAGTACAGCAGCTGAATATTCTCCAGCCCACATATGGCATGAACTAGACCTAAGACTTGTGATATAAAATTTAAAACATGCTGAAGATGACTTTCAGGGACTCTCAGCATAGTTGACACTATTATGAGTGTTCTGAGCATATGGTAAGGAAGTAGGTGGCAGTAGACACAGTCTGGTTTGTAAACTTACCCAGACAAACTTAATGAAAGTACATTAGTGCACATGAGCTTCTTCATGTATTGAAGCCTTTGTCAATGGTCCCTTGTACAGCAGCATACCAAAATCAAATGCAAATCTATCACAATCCATCTGTTCTTGGAAGTACCAGGAGCAAAACCCACAGTATCTCATCCCTCTTGATATTTGATATTATGAATCATGTATATCCTACTGGCATTCAGGAAGCAAATGTACATAATTTCCTATGAGAGTTACAGAACAAAGTGGCTTAGAAAACTACAGCAGTGAAAAAAGCACAAACCCTTTGCAAGTGTAGCACCTTTTAAACTCACATTCCTTAACATAATTTCACTGTGCAACTGAATAAATGTTAGTTTAAATGCTATCCATGAAGAATACTTAATTACTGTTCTTTTAAAAAAAGAAGAAGAAGAAGAAAGTTGAAACAGCACCTGAAATATTTAATAAAGCAAGTTGAAATCCCAATAGCCAACAGAGATAAATTTTAAAGTGACAACTTCAAAATGCCCAGTAAATTCACAGAGGAAGACCCTTTGACTAATTTGACCAGATGAGCACTGGGAGGTTACAACACTGTTCACTGGTATGCTATGAAGGTAATTCCTAGAGCTTCTTTGCCTTTGCTATTTAGTTAATTACAATAGTAGATTTGGTTAATTATCTTGGGGTGTTATATCTATCCTTGGCAGTGCAGTTAATATCTAAACTACAAAAGTGCAGCAAACATGGGAACTTTACTAAAAAAAACGTTAACAACTATCATGAGTCTGAGGACTTTTTTCTATCTATGCATAAGCTTCTACAAAACTATAATGCAGAGTTTCTACAGTTAACCATAGTGTCTACATATTGCATGACACATCAATCCTCTTGCTTCTAAATTTATTTAGCATATCAAATATATGTATTACAATTTATTTCTGACTTGACCTATACACTTTAATTGTTTTTTAATATGAAAGCTGTTTTATCCGGTCATTTACTCTATTTCAGTACATGTGTTAACAATCCAAGTGTAAAAAAAAAATCTACCAAAACCATAAATACTTTTTAGTTTTTAATAATGATTGTAGCAGATTATTTGTATAACCTTCAACAGCACATTTACCTAGTGCAAAATAAGAGACCAAACTAGTTTAGCACATATTTTGTCCTGAAAGAATGCAGATACACCGCTTGATATGAACTATCTCTTTTTCTACAATACCATAAAGCTTTGCTCTTACATCGGCCTTACCCAAACTATATTTTTTACTATGTTATCTAAGCCAAAACATACAAATTGACATGGCCTCATTATAACACCTTTTACTCCTGTTTAGAATGATAGAAATACATACTTAAACTTGATCACTCAATAACTGTTCATACTGATGAATGTATTCTTCCACTGCTTTTGTCCATGGCTTGTTGCACTTCTGCCTTAATGAATCTATAAACTAATCATACATCTTATAAAGTAAATTAGTATTTTCCCTTCCATTTCACTCTAATAAATGCTTTATAACTTGCTCATAATTTTCCATATTAACACATGAATCATAAAGCACTGAATTTAGCACCTATTCACAAATCCTCTCACAAAGACCAAAAGACAGTTGCATGATAGACAGTTCCTGCATCATGCAAAAGCATTTGATGAAGTCCTGATTTGTTTTCTTGCTCTTATTTCACCTTACATTTAGTAATCAATTCCCTTTTTCAACAGAAGACATTAAAGCTTTCCCATGATCAATATTCTCACCTGGTTAATGCAGCCACCTTTACATTTAACTTCTAAGTGCAACCATCACTACATTTGTCTCCTCAATCTCTACCCTGCATCCCATGTTCACTTAGTTGTTGCTATGCCTTTGTCCATTTTTGTTTCTTTTCTCTATTGTGAAAGACTTTACTAAAAAATGATTTACTTTTGGAAGGTAAAAAGTAAGTTGCATAAAACAGAAAAAACATTCAAAAATACCATATCAAAAGCCCATGACAAATCACAAAAGTAAAAAAAAAGAAAAAAAAAAAAAAAAAAAAATCAATTTGGAGGTGGCTTTCCACAGGGTAAGTGCCACTGCCTGGGACACCAGAGAGCCAACTACTCCTTGAGAGTGAGATTGTCTATGTGGAAGTGAGCACTTTCAAAGATAAACGTCGTATTTGGAGAGGGGAAAAATGCCAGTAGCAAATATCCAGTTTTCCTTGTACTGAAATTTTTAGATGCATCTGGTATTCATATACCATACCAACTCCAAAATAAACTTGTAAAAGCAATGGATTTGGACAATAAAAGAGAGAGAAAAAGGTCCTCGTCCCCTCTCCACAAATCGACAAACGCCTTGGTCTTTTGGAACAAAATGTCCCAGCTTATCTTACAAACTGCGATTTTCATATCCAGAAAAGGAGGAGGGTTTAATATCACAAAGTTACACTATCATCTAAGTTTTATACTACCTGCTATTATCACGTTTAACCTTCAAAGTTCAGTCAATGCTCAATGCTTCTTCTGACATCTTGGTATGTCCTTGGAATGCAATGTTCCTCAGCTTCCCTATCTTACTATAATTTTAAGCCTCTTCATGAATAATTGCTATGTTTGTTTCAACATACTAGTGCTTTATCTAATAAACTGCAATATTTCTTTTATTGGTTTGACTGTGAGGCTAACAAGATGTGCAATATCAGCGAGTTACATCCTAAAAACTAGAGCCATTAATGAACTTTGAACTGTGTAATAATGTAAAAATACTTATCTGCCAAAGTAACTTCTACAGTGTAAAATGCTACAGAAATGGACACTAAATGTATGCATGGCTTGTTACTGTAGGTTTTACATCTAATTCCTGATAGATACCGTTGAGTACTTTCAGGAGACTCAAAGCTTCTTCAGAAAAAAAGATGAATCATTTAAATACTGACTGACTCTTAAGATCAAACTTTCAAATTCTCACTGGGAAAGGAAAAAAAAAATGTTTTGTTTTCCTGTTTACATGCTTACCTAGTCCAGTCTAATTTTCTTCATCTTGTAATCACATGAATTAATAAAATAAAAAAATAGATGAATTACTATAGAAAAATTATTTAACTCAACACACTAAATTCAAAATCTAAATGCATTTCTTCCTGCCAACTCCATAGTGCTTTTCGACCTGGCAATACCTGCTTTCTGTGAATATTTAAAAAAGCAAACACTGTAAGACTTCAACACAGAGAATTATCTCTGTAGAACCTTACAGAATCATTCTGTGTAGTCTTTACAGCTAACATAATGTCTTTATATACAGTCTGGAGTGTTAAATGTAGCTTGACCACATTGATATCTCAATCTCTGTTTAATAGCATCGTGTCAAAAAATGAGATGGTTTGGAAAAGTGATTTTGTTTTCATATCACAAAACTCTATATAAAAATCTATAAGAATATGAATAATAAAAAAGTCAAAATAATAAAACAAAAATTTAAACTGTATCTCACCTTGAGATCTGGATCATTATAAGACTACAGGATTCCTTCCTTGTTTTTAATAACTTCAATATAAAAATCACTGGTGGTATTGCACGAGACTGTTCTTCAGTTATACTGCTATATTCTATAAAATAATCTTTTCAAAATTTGATAGAACAGTATAATAAATGCAAAAAAAGTCTCATCATCATAAAGCCTCTTTCAAAATGCATAAAACATTTCAAAAAATCTATCAAATATTGCAAAGACACAAATACAGATTCATATCCAAAATATCTCTAATGTTTGGTGTCTTATGCAGTTTTCCATTTGAGTACCCTGTAGTACCCATTAATGGAAGTACCCACTAACACAAGTAGCTCTAGACTCCAGTATAGGAAAACCTGGGTCAGTGAGTGTTCTTGACGACTACAACACAAGCCCCAGCGCGTCCTGTGGGCAGTGGAGCCATCTGGAGAAAAAAATACATAGTTAGAGGAGTCTGTCACTGCAATAGAAGTATTCATACATCTTAAAATCTTTTGTCTGTAGTGTTTGACTAGTTTTGATATATTAATTCTTCTCTTATTGAAGATATGATACTGGAAAAGTACTTTTGGCCCCCCCCAAAAAAAGAAAAATAAATTAAAAGACATCAAACTGACTTATCTCTTACCTGTGTCCACTCATTGGTTTGAGGGTCATAAGCGTGCACAAGATTGAGATAGGTTTGTCCATCATAACCTCCAACGCAAAACAGACGGTCACCCAGCAGACTCACTCCTGCACTATCACAGCCTAAACTTAGACATGCAACCTGTGTCCATGTATCAGTAGCAGGATCATATCTGGAAACAAACGCAATGTCAAAAAGGGACAGAATTTCCATCTCAGTAGTAACAGTATATTTTCTGAAACTATAGTGATGCATCCAATGATAAAATCCTTTTCCCATCTTACTTTCTATTCTATTTGAAGAGTGCATAAAGCAAAAAAGAATATACATAAAAAATAACAGCATTACTTCAGAACATTACCTTAAAAAATGAAAATTAAGGAACTGGTTCGTTTTTCTAAACCCCTTCAACCAATTTGCCTACAACAGCATGTCTGACAGCCCTTTAGACAGGGTTGTTAAACATACTATTATAAATTGGCATACTTTTACATGATTTCCAATACATTTACTGCTCTAACCATATCTTGTGTTATATATGGTTTTACTGACATTGTGCCTATCAAGAATATCACAAAACTTATTCTTAGTTTTTTGATGACTCAAATTGTCTTTTTTTTTTTTTACAGAAAACATTCTATATTTTGTTTCACAAAGTATATAACCTTGTTTGACACTAGTTAGGTTACCTGGCTCATATGCAGCATTTGGCCCTTGCTTTCTGGCCTCACTGTATCTAACAGAAAAACTCCACAGACATATCTGAACAGCACCAACCTATGCACTTACCTTTCAACACAGTCAAATCTGGAAGCACATGGGTTTGAAGCAGGAGCATCATGCCCTCCCACAGCATAGAGGAATCCATTCACTACTCCCACCCCAACACCGCCTCTTCTCCTGGCCATCGGAGCACATGGAGTCCACTTGTTTGTGTGGGGATCATAGCATTCTACCGTCCTTAAACAAGATGATCCGTCTCTTCCTCCTACTGCATAGAGTCTAAAATCAAAGGCAGGATATGAGCACAGTTTTTTTTTTATTATTTTTTTAAATCATACAAGTTACAGCCTATTCTTCTAGATATTTCTCTTATCCATCAACATACATAAGAAAAGAGGAATAATTATTTACCAAAAATGCTCTATATTTTACCTTATTTAGTTTTTGATGGTTATTTAATTATAGTGACTGATCTCCTTTTATAATAAGACAAAATCCAGCTTAGCTTAGGGCTTCTATTAAACAAACCTCTCTTACCAATGAAAGCCTAAAAACAAAAATTCTGGGATAATTTCTTTTTTACCTTCCATTTAATACAGCCACCCCAACAGTGGATCTGGCAGTCGACATGGGTGCAACATAACTCCACTGTCTTGCTTGGGGATCCCAACGTTCAACAGTGTTCAGGTAACTCCATCCATCATGTCCTCCAACAGCATATAAAGGTCCCTCAAGAACACCCACTCCTAAAATAAGAATAAAAAAATAATAACTGTGCCTTTAACCAAGTCAAAGGAAAAAACACCTAGTAAATGATATCAGATATCAGCTTAAATATTATAACAGTCTTATATTAACATATGCTTCTGGATACTTTATTGATGGGCATGTCTATAACCATCGTGACGTAATGAAGTACGATATGTATACACATTATGACAAGCTCTTGCGAGCAAGCAGGTGGACTGGCTGTACACAGCACATGCCAGAAAGGCTAGACTGTTGTGTAATGATTATGTCACAAAAAAATTCTGGCCCAGTCATAATAAGGATACAGGTCATTTTAACCTCTTTTAAGGGAATTAATAAGAAATAATAACAATTTATAAATAAAATAGCAACAAATATCTCTAACTTCCACTTCAGCATTACCTAAGCCATGCCTATGAGTGGACATGGGAGGCAGCTGTGTCCAGACATTTGTTGTTGGGTCGTAGCATTCAACGGTATTCAGGGTCTTGAAGCCATCTCTCCCTCCAACAACATGCAACTTCCCATCCAGAACAGCTACTCCGAACTGCAGCCTCCTGCCCGTCATAGTTCCTACTGTGTTCCATGTATTTGTTCGGAGGTTGTACTTCTCAATGCCTGTAGAACCTATTCCAAGGATGCAAAGGTTATTGTGTAAATATTTTGCTTTCTTTCTGATTTCAAAGTTGAGAGATAAGATATAGATATAGAGATACAGTTATAGACAAAGGTCTGAACCACCACCAAGCAAGGTACATTACAGCCAACTGTTCATCTACCTTTATATATATTATTCAATAATAGATTTTACTAAAACCTACTGGATTCTGTACAAACAATGGGACAAATTATCTGTTTATAATATTACTTGACTAAGTCAGATTTTCTTTCTTTTGTCAGAATATCAAACTTAAATAGATTCTATGAGTAATTTTAATTCATTCCATCAATATTATCAAGCAGAGTAACAACCATGTTTAACATCTGGCATCAATTTTAGAATAAAAAAAATGGATTTTTAAAAATGGTTAGTGAAAAGATTAATGATACAGTTTACTTCAAATATAATAAAACTTAAATCATAAATCATCAAAATCAGATATATCTCATTTCACTAGTGATTCAAGAATAAGAATATAAAACTTCACTTGTGAAAGGCTGACCAACCTCCACTTCTTCCCTAGTGGTATAAATTTATTGCCAATAATCACAAGGTATTATACAAACCTATGCATCTAAAAAAGTATAAATGAGGGTGAAAATCTTTACAATACAAAAGATGTATTTGACCAGTTTCAAATATATCTTCATCATAAATGTATTTCTAATGAAGATGTACTTAAAACCAGTCAAATACATCTCGTGTATTATGAAGATATTCATTCTCATTTATATCTTTCCTACATCTGTCAACATGAATACAGTTCAAACCTATGCATCATTATTCTCACAATTAAATCTATACAAATAGTTGCCAGATAGTAATGTAGTAAATGTAATAATTTTACAATAAGTCCTGCATCTATTATAATCAAAGTATTCCTCGTTTTTATGAATATATACCACAAATGGAGTACACTATCCAGAGGTAAGAAAGGAATTTTACAGGTATATTCACAAAAAGTAACCACAGAAAAAAAGAGAAAATAAAACAGGTAAGACATCTCAAAGAAATGAAAGTAAAGCCAAAGGAACTTCCTGAGAGATTGTACAACTAAGAAAGCATTAAAATTGAGACAATACCTGCATCCTTTACGACCTGCATCTTAACCATTGGTACATAAACAGTGGCAGTTTGTATCAGAAGGAGCCAACCAGGCAAAAAAAAAAAAAAAAAAAAAGTAATAAACTAAAAATTAACTTAACCTTACTTCCTCTCCACCCACCCTTATTGGAGTCCATGCCCCCAATAACATAAAGGTCCCCAACGGTGGATTTCCGTGGCTTGGTGCGGGGCGACTGGAGCGTGGATCTTCTTTCAGGCAGCAGGTGGTACTTGAGGGCCTCTACAATCAGGTCTTGGCATTCACGGTCTTCTTTAAAAAGCAAATTGGTCTCTATGTGGTCTGCCAGGAACTGAGGAGACACATATTGTTTGTTATACTATCATGTGAAATTTTGTTAATCTGGGATTTTAAGGACAACATGAAAATTAGGTACCATGCAGATAAGTTGATTAGCCTGTTACATTACACTTCAGAGAGGATGACCAGAAGATTTGCAGAAAAAAACAATATACATTATGATAGAAAATTTCAGTGAGCTGTGATCATGTTAATTTAATGTCCAATTTTTTTCCAATAACTAGGTATCATTCAACTGATTCTGTGGCTTAAACTTTAAGTAGACTGCATGCTTGTCTACATAGCTTATTTACAAAGTTAAGTGCAAATCAAGAAACAGATGAAAGGAACAAGTGTTTAAAAAAGACTTTACTTTCACTTTACCTTAAAAAAATTACCAATGTTAAAGCTTCAGAGAAAAATAATTTACACTTCATTCACACAAGCTAAATCAAAAGGTACG